TCAGCCTGAAAGGTGTCCCTCCTCTGCTCTCCGCACCACTTACACAGCAAGCCGGGGGCAGGCTGGCCCATCTTTGTTCATTTGTATCCACTCACATTCACCTAAATGGGTGGCCGTTGCCTCTATAAATGGATTCAGTGGTGCGAACCCCTGCGACGCCTGCTTAGTACTTCTGTACAAAATCACCATCCACATGCAGCTCTCTGCCTTTGTCCACAGAGCACGTTTTTTTTTCAATCAAAGGTAGCATTGCATTGAGATGTTTCTAGCCCTTCTTCCACATGCACTTGTGGTTACAAGTGTGTGACAAGAGTCAGGAGTAGCAGGGACTGGGGGAAGGCCAGTGAGGTTCTGGCTTCGGGTGTGAAGCTCAAGAGGCTATCCAAAAGCTCAGGAATTAAAGTATACAACAGTTCAATGCAATATTTCAAAAAAAAAAAAAAAAACATGAATGCAAAATGACCCATGATGAACAAATATCCAAACTGTAAAGGAAGACAGGATTGAATGAATTTAAATTAAGTATCAGTGCCGAGCCAGACACTTGTGTGACCCGAGCCTGCCTCTCTGGCTTGACCCATCCTGGACAGGCTGGAAAGAGCTCCCAAAGAGAACGGCAGGGGCTGTGCTCTGCAGACACACAGGAGAGTTCCCTTGATGCTTCTGGTTGATAGACCAAGCCCCGGCCCAATCTAACCACAAGGCTGAACACCCAACCTTTAAAGGCAAAGAAATGCATGCACCACCCTTCATTGCCCTACGACATTCTTTCAAGGCTGTTAACGTGCTGATGGCCACACATGGAAGTCACTCAGATCCCAGGAGCCCTCCTCCCAGGGCCTCCCTCCTCCTGCACAGATTATCCTTCCCACTCCGCTCGCAGGTTCTGCAGCCTGGCCTAAAGCACCTCTCCGCCTTGGCAGCTAGCCCAGGGCAGAGCCACCAGGCCTTGCTCTAGTTAAGAACACCAATGTCTTCCACCAGACCATAAGCTCAAGGAACACAGGGACCTCACTCCATGAGTCCTTTCAGGGACAGATAATCATCCATGTGCTCCTGGATTCCTAGTTTCCATCTATTTCTAGCAACTGAGTTCTTCATTTTCTAGCTTTCTCAGTGGCTTCTCTCAGTACACGGCATCAATCTCAGGTCTGAATGTGTCCATTCCTGTGCTTCAGATTTGGATGCAGTGTGTGAGTCACTAGGTAAATGCATGGGGGTACCTGTGGACATCTAAGACGAACATCCTGCAGGACAGTGGCAGAGGTGCCCTGCACGAGCGAAGCACACCTGAGAACTCCCAGAACCTGCACTGATACCAGGATCTGGGCCTCAGTCCTTGAAGTTGCTTGAAGCTGGGGAAAACACCACCTTTCCTGACAAGTCAGCATCATCAACCTAGAAGGAGCTTGGGGGAACAGCCCTAGGAGGCCATCATGCAGCACATGGACAGGAAAGCACCTGTATTCTGGGTGAGGCATCCTGCCAGCCATGCCACTGCTGCCAGCACCAAACAAGCCTGGCTGCAAACCAGCACTCCTCATCTGGACCTCTCAGCAGGGTTAGCCCCCAAACGCTGAGCCCAGCAGGTCCCAAACGGTCACACGTCCCTCCAAACTGGAGCTTTCAAGCCAGAGGCACCAGGACGTAAACATCAAGGCTACCTGCCACCCCTTTTCTGCCCCTTTGGCAGCTCAGCCCTCCTTCGATCACAAGAAGAGGCTGAGGGGCGTCCCTGGCCCACCCTGTTAATGAGCCCTTCTAAAAAGCCTGGCTTCAGAGGCACCACTGCCAGGACAAACTTTAAATTGTGTGTAAAAATGCATGCATATGTTTATTGCAGCATGATTCACAATTGCAAAGATGTGGAACCAATCTAAGTGCCTATCAACTGAAGAGTGGATGTGGTACATATATACCATGGAATACTACTCAGCCATAAAAAAGAACAATGTCTTTTGCAGTAACTTGGATGGAACTGGAGGCCATTATGCTAAGTGAAGTAATCCAGGAATGGAAAACCAGACACTGCATGTTCTTACTTGTAAGTGGGAGGCAAGCCGTGGGTATGGAAAGTCCTAAGAACGATACCATGGACACTAGAGACTCAGAAGTGGGGGTCGGAGAGGGGTGAAGGATAACAAAGTACATATTGGGTACAAAGCACACTACTTAGTAATGGGTACAGGAAAATCCTAGCCTTCAACTATACAATTCACCCACGTAACCAAAACCACTGGTACCCCTAAAGTTATTGAAATAAAATGAATCAATAAATGAATGAAGAGTGTGTACAAAATTACTGAAAGAGAAAGTGATCCCTTTGAGGGTATCTCCCACGCCCTCAATACACATATTCTTCGTCCATAGCCTTGATGCAATAAGGAAGTATAATTACAGGCAAGTTCAAGGCAAAAACCTTTGGAAAAATAAAAACACCCAGTCATAGTCAATTTCTTTTTTTTCTTTTTTTGGCCATAAAAGGTAATTACTCTGAAAAGAAATGGTTTTTGCAGAAGTATGTTACCATTCCCTAGTTATTTATATTTGTGCAAACTGATTTTTTTACCCTTTATTTTTGTTTTAAAATATACCAGCATATCTATTTCCAGTGAAATTTTGAAAAGGGCACAGTTTACTATCTGAGTGTTCCACAGTTTTCCAACATAATTTTAAAATAAATCCTTTGAAATTTCACCCCTTCCCAATTGAATTGTATTCCAAATGCATACAATTTATATTCCTTTTTTTTTTTTTTTTTTTTTTTGAGAAGGTATCTCACTGTGCCACCCAGGCTGGAGTGCAGTGGCATGATCCTGGCTCACTGCAACTTCCACCTCCTGGGTTCAAATGATTCTCTTGTCTCAGCCTCCCCAGTAGCTGGGATTACAAATGCTCACAACCACACCCGGCTAATTTTTATATTTTTAGTAGATACAGGGTTTCACCATGTTGACCAGGGTGGTCTCAAACTCCTGACCTCATAATCTGCCTGCCTCGGCCTCCCAAAGTGCTAGGATTACAGGCCTGAGCCACTGTGCCCCACTCCAAATGCATGTTTTTATTCAACACACATTGCACATTATGTAGGTTTCTTTGTTCAGTTTCCTAACATTATGATTTGGCTTTTAAGTTCTTCTCTAGTAGACTCTGAGATTCTTAGAAGTAAAGGATGAAACTTAAAACACGTGCACTCAGACCATGGCCCAGAGAGAGAGGTTATTCGTAAGTACCTGCTGAATTAATAAATAAATGGACGTTGACAGTAGGCATATCCTTCTGCAATAATTCAGTCTTTCCCAGAATGTATATTGTAAAATAAGATTGAAACCAGGAAGTAAAGAACACAGTGATCGGTGTGATTTGTAGATAATCTTTCTATGTATAAAGCATGTGGACCTCGGTCTTCCTTGTTCCTTCCCTGGTCCTGTGACTTTAGAGCTGGGCCACTGCCTTTGGCCCTGGCCAGACTCTGGCCCCTGTGTAACCACAGCCTGCCCAGCTGTGGCTGACGGCAGCCTTGCAGAAATGAGGGCCTGGGGCACCAGTGTTTCTACTGTTTCAAAGATGCTATAAACGGGAGTTTTATGTGAAATCTCTTGATTGTAAAATATTTGTCTCGATTTTATTTGTTTTGCTTTTAGACACATCTTGTCTGTATGACAGGTCTGTCTCTGGGTCTCCAATGTGCAATCCATGTACCACAGACTGAATGTGTCCCCCCGAAATTCCTGTGTTGGAACCTAACCCCCAGTGTGATGATGTCAGGAGGTGGGGCCTTTGGGAGGTAAAGCCTTCAGGAATGGGAGTAGTGCCCTTATGAAAGGGGCCCCAGAGACCTCCTTTACCAGAAGGAGCCATCTATGAGCCAGAATGCAGGTCCCCGCCAGAAACAAAATCTGCAGGTACTTTGATCTGGGACTTCCCAGCCTGCAACACTGTGAGATATAAATTTGTTGTTTATAAGCACCCCAGTCTATGGTATTCTCTTAGAGTAACCTGGGTGGACTAAGCCAAGATGTTCCCAACCAAAGTGGCACACAGCCCTCAGAATCCGGTGCGGCTCACCCCCACTTCACTGAGATCGCTTCTCAATGTCACCCCTTCTTACAAAGCCCTCAGAACCCGGTGCGGCTCACCCCCACTTCACTGATATTGCTTCTCACTGTCACCCCCTTCACACAACCCTCAGAACCCGGTGTGGCTCACCCCCACTTCACTGAGATCGCTTCTCACTGTCACCTCTTCTCACACAGCCCTCAGAACCCAGGACAGCTCACCCCCACTTCACTGAGATCGCTTCTCACTGTCACCCCTTCTCAGAGGCTTTCCCGGCCCATCCTCTCTCAAATCACATTTGTTCATGTGTTAAGCTGTCACCTCCCCTCACTAGAGGCAGGGACCTTGTGTGCTTGTCTTCCGTCTCTCCTCAGCTCCTGGACGTGCCCAGCACGCAGCGGGCTATTGAACAACTCACCCTGAGTGTGAGGAAGGACAGAAAGTGGCCGCTCTATAGAGCTGGGCCTTTCCGAAGCTGATGGTTGAGGGCACCTGTTCACCAACACACAATGTCTGATGTTTCTTTCCCACCTTCCCAATTACTCGCTTTTGTTTCCCAAGACTTTACAGAAGACTTTCCAAATGCTGTTCAGTCTGATAGAAACCTTAAAATGACTCTGGAGCTCAGAATCTGGACCCTCCCATGCTTGCCATGGAAGGAGGCCAAGATCTGGGCCGAAAGAGCACAGTTCAAGGTCAGGTTGCAGGTTTGTGCTGGTAACCAGAAGCCGCACTGTTCTCGCCTCACGTGGGGGTCAGCAGTGGCAGGCGCCTTGGAATGGTGTGGGACCTAAGTGAGTAACAGCAAAATGCTTCTCTCTTCCTCCTTCCTGACATAAAGCCATCAGGGGCCCCCAGCCCCCGGCTGGGGCAGAACCCACCACTCCTCCCTCTGTACACAAGCCATGAAGGCAGCCGTCTGCCCCAAGCCTGGCACTCACCTTTGAGGACAGGCCTCTCCCCGATGTTGCGGATGCTATAGGCAGCACTGGACAGGGGCGCATCCGGGATGAGCTCTGCGAGGAGGTACCCGGAATACCAGGCACACAAGGAGGCGAAGACCAGGAGCACAACCTTCAGGGGACCTGCAGAGGGGACAACAGGCAGCTGCTGTGAATGACGTGGTGGTGGCCCCAGCCCCTGGCTCTCCTGACCCCGCTGTGGCCTTTCATCCTAGCCCAGCATCAGGGGACTGCATTATAGGCACAGTGCTTCTGGGGAGGAGGCTCCCAGGGTGGGAGGCGGTGTCAGGGCCTTGGAATTAGACAGTATCAGCGAATATAAACAAAACAGGAATGCTTTCAAGGGCAGGCTGTATTTGCTGTTGGTTTGGGTCTTAAGAGCTTCCTCGAACCTTAATGTCAAAACAGCTATCAAGTGCCTTGTGAACCAGCATGCCCAACGGGGACCTGAAGAAACAAAAGCAGCTCATTCCCTTTGTGAGACACGATCCTGCAATTACACTGAAACCTTCAGTGGGCGAGGCACTGTCTTGTTTTGTTTATTTCACATCAGCAGCAGTGGGAATAGTAGCTGGCGCCCAGCAAGCATGCAGCGGATTCCTGCTGGATCAAGGCCTGGCCAGGTAACACCGGGAAAAGTCCCCAAACCTGTTCTGTCATCACGGGTGTGCCTGCGGGGCCACCCAAGGTCCCCAATGACAGAAGTCCCTGGAGATATCTTTCTGGTGGATTGGCAACAATATCTTACTTAAGTAGCAAGATTCCCAAGGAAAAGGTATTGACCTTCTCCTGGGTCACCAGAGGCCTGGGAGACAGCATTCCGTGTTTCCACAGGGAACGCAAGGCCAAGCCTTTCAGATTTTGCTCCCTAAATATAGCAGAGATCAGAACTCATGGAGCAGTTTGCTTACCCAAATAGCTACCGTGCAGGGGTGACGATGGGTCCTGAACAGGATGGGTCCTGGGGGATGTGCCCAATGCACTTAAATATGTGCTAACAGGTATAGCCCTAAGAAGAAGAGAGGAAGGAAGGAAGGAAGGGAGGGAGAGAAAAAGGGATGAAAGAAGGAAGGAAGTGAAGGGGAAATGAGGAAAGGAGAAAAAAGAAAAGGAAAAGAAGGGAATGGTCAAGCCTGGAGGGCCCGACGATGGCCCCCGCCCCGCCGCCCGCCCGTGTGCAGCTCTGGGTCTCAGCTTTGCTTCTAGCACCTAGAGATCGTCCTTCCCTTCTCAGGAGCACAGCTGTCCAGGGCCTGTGCACAGGCTATGCTGTGCCAAGGCAACGTGTGCTTGTGTTTGGAGGTCCAGTGCTTCGGCAGAGGAAGCCACGGGGATGGAACAAGATGCTTCTGGTTCGCCTTGGGGCTTGGTTTTGCTTTTTCAAGGGCATATTTCAACACCATTTAAAAATTTTGAATTTGCAAACTGCTAAGATTGTTAGACTGGTAGGCACAGGTGGTTTCCTCTGGGGAGAGGCCAAAGGCAATGCGATCAGTGCAGTTTCCAGGGCTCGAGGGGCATCTCAAAGCAGATAAACCAGCCACAGAAAACGAAATGAGACAGGTGCAGGCTTGCAGGACCCTCTCCTGCAGCTCTGCCGCCAGCTGTGCCCAGCCACCTGCGGGTACTTTTCTGCCCTCCCGGGCTCACTCCTCTGCAAGAGTGGTCTCTGCCTAGAGGATTCTGTCCCCAACACAGCCCGGCCACAGGCCCCTACAGACGCCTCCCTCCAGAGCCATGCAGCATGCCTGGGGTACCGAGTGGTGCTGATGTTCCAGAAAATTCTGTTGGATGATTACAGAGTGCAGAGTGGTCTACGACAGCCACAGAACATGTTCAAAGGCAACAGCAGTGCCCTGTGTCCTGTGCGTGTGGGTCGCAGCTGGACGATTTCATCCAAGTGTTGTGTTTGAAGAAGAAAACTCGGTAACCAGAGAGTGCTCAGAGGCTCTTCCAGACAACACGGCACACCTGAGATCCTGAGCGGCAAGGTGCTGTTTAGCTTGGAGAAGGCTGAGAAGGAACATCACCTATCTTTTGAATGTGTACCAAAGCTACATGAAGGAAGAGGTAATTGTGTCCCCAGCTGAACAAAAACAAACAGGTGGACTGGACATGACAGAGAAGAAAATGGAGAATAAATAAGCCAAGTGTCTTTATAAGAAGAAGGGAAACCCACGCTCGGCCCTCCTGGTGAGGCAGGGAGCTCTCTTTTGGGACACTTTTCAGGACTCCTAGAGAGTATCAGTGCTTTGGGTGGGGGGTGCAGCCAGTGATCTCCAGGCTGGGGACAGTCTGGTTTCCAGCATGCAGCTGGCTGGGAGAAGCCATGACCTACAGCCGGAAACAATTCCAGGGTGGGAGGCAGATCTAGCCACTGGTACGGGGATTGGCGAATCTTCAGAAGATGGGTGGTGAGCTGGACTGGCAGCCTGTGCTCGGGTCTAGCACAAAGTCACAGAAGTAGCCCAGCCACCAGGGGGAAGGCAGGGCGTAGGAGCCAGGAGGTGACAGACAAAATCCAGGCAGGCAGCATTACGTCCTCTGGCTGCCGTGACAAATTAACACAAACTGGGTGGCGTCAACAACAGAAACTTAGGCTGGGCTCAGTGGCTCACACCTGTAATCCCAGCACTTTGGGAGGCCAAGGTGGAGGGATGGCTTGAACTCTGGAGTTTGAGACCAGCCTGGGCACCATAATGAGACCGCATGACTACAAAGAATTTTAAAAAGAATAGTCAGGTATGGTGGTGCAGACCTGTAGTCCCAACGACTCAGGAGACTGAGGCAGGAGGATTGCCTGAGCCTAGAGCTTTGAGGCTTCAGTGAACTACAGTTGCAATATTGTACTCCAGGCTGGCAGATGGTGAGACCCCATCTCTTACCAAAAAAACCCCTGAAATCTATTTTCTCAAGATTCTGAAGGCTGAAAGTCCAAGATCAAGGTTCCTCTGAACCTCTCTCCTTGGCTTGCAGATGGCGTCTTCTCCGTGTCCTCAGAGGGTCTCCACGTGTCTGCGTCCTCGCCTCCTCTTCTTATAAGGACACCAGTCAGATTGGATCGGGGCCTACCCCCAATGACCTCATTGTACCTGAAATTCCTCTTTAACGACCTGATCTCCAGATCCAGTCGCATTCTAAGGTACTGGGCTGAGGTTAGGTCTGCAACATATAAATGGGGTGTGGTGGGGAGGCACAATTCAGCCCCAACACAGCACTGGGCGAGCTGTGGCACAGACTCTCTGTGGGCCGGCTGCCAGCAATCAGAGCTCAGTCCCTGGGGGTGAAAGCAGGATGGGCAGGAGCCAAAGCAGCCTGTCAAGACACAGGCTCAGACACTGGGCAGCAGGGAAGAATCGGCGCCTAAGCTGGGACACTTGGGAATACGAAAGCTTGGGAGACCAGGGCTTCACTAAGATGACTCCTGGTGCCCGGGTGGGTCTGCCCCAGTGGGAGGAGACCCAGAAGCTTCAGAGGTCGGGGAGGAAGTACACAAAGTCCAGGAACACTTCTGTGATTCTGTAACCAGGATCCTGCCTTTCTTCATAAGGTAATAAAGTCATCATCGGCTCATAGAAATGCCCTCCACCGTGCTTGCTGCCCAGCAGACAAGATGAGTGTTAGAGCAAAGGCCATTCTTACACGGGAGGAGAGCCAGTGAACTTTCTCCTAAGAGACTCAGCTCTAGTGTGTCTGCCTGTGTGTGCATGTGTATGCACGTGCATGTGTGTGTGTGTGCATGTGTACATGTGCATGTGTGTGCGTGTGCATGTGTGTGCACGTACATGTGTGCATGTGTGCATGTGTGTGTGTCTGTGTGTGTGCTTGCATGTGCAGCCTGTCAAGACAGAGGCTCAGACACTGTCTCAGCCAATCCCACTCTCAGATCCACAGGAGTCTCAGTACCCTGGCTGCTTCACTTAAGAGCCAGAAGCTGGGTGCAGTGGCTCACACCTGTTATCTCAGCATTTTGGAAAGCTGAGGAGGCCAGGAGTTCAAGACCAGCCTAGGCAACATAGCAACACCTCATCTCTACAAAATTTTTTTTAAAAAATTAGCTGGGCATGGTGGCATGTGCCTGTACTCCCAGCTACTCAGGAGGCTAAGCAGGAGGATTGCTTGAACCTAGGTATTCAAGGCTGCAGTGAGCTATGATCACATCATGGCACTCCAGTCTGGGCTAGAGAGCAAGACCCTGCCTGTAAACAATACACATTTAAAAGGAGACAGAAAGGAAGTAATCCTGAAACCAAATGGATATGATACTAGGTTACAGGTAGGAGGATTTAAGGGCTTTCTCCCTCCCTCCAATCCAAGGGGCACCTAAAAAGAGTAATCTTGGGTACTGGAACACCCTTCTATTGATGGAATTTCCTTCAACCTGAAAGAGGACAGGGAAGCTGCTGTCACTGCTGCCTTGCCAACATGCATTCAGATCACCTCACCGTGAAGGCCACACCCACACCTCTTATACTTGAAAGGCCAGGAGAGCTGAGGGTGGATGGTCCGTGTTTCAGGACTCTGCCTTTGGAATCCCAGGCTCTGCTGGCCTGTGTCCCATCATCGCTGTCCTGTTCACTGAGCCTATTTGGCAGAAGGGATAGGAAAGGCCACTCTGAAATACCACAGCAGGTGTGTGGCTCGTGGTCCACCTGTCAATGCCCATTTTGAGGCACTAGGATGCCCACTGCTAGGCCCTGCAGCTGAAGGCATGGTGGCAGCTCAACTTGCTCCTTCCATTCATCTGAATGTCCCTCCTGAGAACATCTGCCTGGAACACACCCAGCACTGGACAGAAGCGTCCAGGACAAGGCTCACTCCAAGGATGTCTCCAGATCTTTACCTATAAAATCAAAAGTGAGGCATCTCTGAGTTCTGTGGGCAGGTTCTCCACAATCACACGTGCCTGGATAAATACAAACCTGGTGTTATCTCGAAGCTTCCTATGAAAGGACCCCACAGCTCATGAGTGAATCATGAGGTCCAGATGTGAAAAAGTCCTGGCTGAGGGAAAGCAATCTAATAATATTCAGTACTGTCCATAAGTGGCCCGGAAATAATAATTATACAATACAGAAATCATGGAAAGCATTCTTCCAGAACAGCGATAATGAAAGTCGCGGCCCTAAGGGAGGGATACATATCTCTCCTACAATCCACACAAGTTATCAAAAACACTGGCATTCATAAATAGTTTTTAAGGAAAATACGAATATTTTACACCAAGCAAAAATCTTAAAATGCGGCTTTCCTACATTTGGGAATGGTGCAGAAAAGAGAGCGCTTAGAACTTGCTGGAGTGTGATCGCCGCCTGAATGCTGGTGCTGGCGGGAATGCGATGGTTCAGTCCAACACCCTCGCCACAGAGGACCTGGGACCTCGGACCAGGAAGCGACCTACAGAAGAGGCCCACAGAACTTCCCACTTTTGAACCTTCCATTTTACACAGCCAGACTTCATCCCTCCAGGAGCAATCCGTATTTTTCAGATTATAGGAGGAGACCCACGAAACCAGTTAGAAAGGGGATGTGTGACAGAGGCCAGGGCAGTGGACACCAGGACCCGAGACGGCCTGTGGCAGGAAAGTGACAGCGGACAGAGTTGCAGCTAAGACAGGCTGCAGAAACGCGGCGACTGGCTAAAATAATAGGTTTCTCCTTTCCTTCTTCCTATTGTTCCAAATCGTCCACAGTGTCAAGTCGTTTGAAAAATGGAAAAAATAAAAACAGCCTTACCAACTGGCAGCGGCCAGCCCCTCCCTGGCACATGAGGTCGGGGCGCAGGTGCAGGGAAGCAGCCGCGTGGGGAGCCTGGGTGGGGTGCGGCGCTGTGCCTGCGCTCCCCCAACATACTTTCCAGGTAAAATGTCACAGTGTCACATTCCGGGATCCTCCCCCATCCAGTGCACCCCGGCTGGGGCGGGAACAGGCCGGGCAAGCTCCGGGAAATGGGTCTGGGAACCCTGCTGGAAACGCTGGCTGTTCGCCCCCTCTGGAATCGATCTCCGGTTCCTGATCCGAGATCTAAGGCCAGCCTCAGGGCCAGGCACCCGCCCTTGGCCTTTGTCTTTTGCTCAGCGTGGTGGATCCCAGGCAGGGTCAGAGGACGCCGCTTCCCCCGGGATCCTCCTTCCCGGCCCCTACCCCAGCCCCGAGGTGGGGGTGCACTTACCGCTGGCCACCTGGCGCATCTTCCAGGTGCCGCTCCCCTCCCGGCCCTGGCGGCAGCTCCCGGGCGACTGCAACGGAGCCCGTGGGTCAGGAAGGCAAGGGGCGGGCAGCGGTCGGGTCCAGCAGGGGCGGGCCAGCTGGGTGTACGGCCAGTTGGGCAAATGGCAGGTGCGGACCCGGCAGGTGCGTGGGGCGGGCGTGGGCGGGGCAGGTGCGCGGGGCTGAGCCCCGGAGCTCCGAGGTGGCGGATGGAGTGGGGAGGCGTTCCCAGGGCTGATCTGACCCGAGATGCCCAGCAGGGTTGGCCTGAAGGGAGGAAACGGCGCCACTTAATGCTTCGGCTCCCTAGGCTCAAGAATCATGCCAGCGCTGGGCCTGGGCACGGGCGGCCCATTTGAGCACTCAGAGGTGCTCAGCGAAAATATTAAGAAGCCACTCTGCAGCTAGTTCTAACAATTCCTTTAAATGAATGAACTGACTGCCAACTTACTGCCATCTTTAGCTCACCTGATTTCAGGGGTGGGATTTTTATCTCTGAGTTTATTTTGATTTTTTTAAATTGTGGTTTAAAAATGCATAACATAAAATTACCATCTTCGCCATCTCGAAGTGTACAGTTCAGTAGAGTTAAATACATTCACATTTTTGATCTGCAGAACTTTTTCACTGCAAACTGAAATTCTGTACCCATTGCACAACTCACCATTTACCCCTGCCCCCAGCCCCTGGAAACACCATTCTACTTTTTCTACAAATTTGAGCACTCTAGATACTTCATATAAACGGAATCACACAGTATTTGTCTTTTCGTGACTGGTTTATTTCACTTAGCATCATGTCCTCAAGGTTCAGCCATGCTATAGCATGTCAGAATTTCTTGTCTTTTTAAGGCTGAATAGAATCCCATTGTACAGAGGTACCACATCTTGTTTATTCATTCATCCATCCATGGACACTCGGGTTTCTTCTACCTCTTACCTACTATGAATAATCCTGCTATGAACACGGGGAAGCAAATCTCTCTTCTGGATCCTGCTTTCAGTTCTTTTAGAGACATACTCAGAAGTGGAATTACTGGATCATGTGCTCTTCTTAGGTTTTTGAGGAACGACTGTACTGTTTTCCACAGCTGCACAATTTTACAATCGCACTCAGTGTGCAGGGGCTGCAGTTTCTACACATCCTTGCCAGTGCATGTTGTTTTCTGTGTTTGGTTTTTTTTCTTAATAGCAGCCTTCCTAATGGGTATGAAGTGATATCTCATTGTGGTTTTGGTTTGCACTGTCCTAACAGCTAGCAGTGCTGGGTATCCTTTCACATTCTTGTTTGCTATTTGTATGTCATCTTTGGAGAAATGTCCACTTAAGTCCTTTGCCCAATGGACCATTGTGTGTCATATTTCCTTAAATTACTTAAATTACATATGTCCTGAAATAACTAAAATTACATATTGTCAGTAAATTACTGACAATAAGAATTTTAAAATAAAACAATAGCAAGAACTACTGTTTCAAAAAATATTTTCATTGTATACTTTTCTCTCTAGATTGCCATTTGATGTTGACATTGCCTCTTGAAATAAGACATAGATTAAAAATTAACAGATATTTATGGAGCACCTGTCATGGTCTTAGTCTGCTTAGGTAACACTTAGTCTGTTTGCTGTAACAAACACCAATGCTTGGTGACTTAAACAGCAGACATTTATTTCTCACAGTTCTGGAGGCTGGAAAGTCCAAAGCCAAGGTACTGGCTGGTTCACTTTCGGGTGTGTGTCTTTCCCTGGTTTGCAGACTTCTCACTGCATCTTCACATGGTGGAGAAACAGAAAGAGGAAGCAATGGCTCTGGTGTTTCTTCTTAGAAGGGCACTAATCCTACTGTGAGGGCCCACCCTCATGACCTCATCTGAGCCTAATGACCTCCCAAAGGCCCCATCTCCAACCACCCCAAAGCCATCTAATTGGAAGATTAGGGTTTCAACATATGAATGTTTTTGTTTTGGTGGGGGTGGATACATTCAGTACATGGAAGCTAGATCCTAGAGAACAAACTGCATACCCTCTGTCCAGTTTCCACATACGATTACAGCCACAAACCTTATACAACTCAACACTCGGTCTACAGGAAAAAGGAGGAACACATTTTGGTATATTTATGTGGAATACAACTCAGCAACCAAAAAAGAATGCCCCACTGACAAAGCCAACAACATGATGACTCTCAAAAGCAGCATGCACACATACTGTGTGATGAGGTTCAAGAATGGATCAAATTCATCTCCGGAGACAGAAGTCAGAACAGTGGTTTCCCCTGAGCGCAGGGGCAGACTGGTGTTGACTAAGGAGGAGCAAGGGAAACTTTCTGGAGCAACAGAAGGTTCTTTGTCTTTATCTTGGTGAATATTCACGAATCTCATATAACAAGTTATAGAGCTATATACATCTAAGATTTGTGTATTTTATTACATATAATTACAATTCAATAAAACCTGTTATCTAAAGAAAAAACAAATGGTTCAAGATGACAGAGCCAACGAGGGGAGTGGAGCCCTGCAGGTCATTGTCCCTTGAAGGTACATTCACAGCTCTGTCTGGTCAACATGGTCAAGTGATTTCAGGGCGTGAGCCGCCTCAGGAAGCCTGCTTTCAGGTCTGATTTGCTGAGCACACTTCAGGCTGTCCTCACCTCCTTCAGAGGGGCTGGAAAGAACAATCTGCAGTTCCAGCAGTGTGGGGTCTGCACTTTCCCACCACACTCTGTCCTGCCCTTCCTTGAAGGGCTCCCCTATGCCTTGCTTCTTCTCTGCCCCATTTCCACTGGCCAACACAGGCCTCTGGTCATTCCAAACTCTCCAGCCACCCCTCAGCTCATGAGAGGCTGGCACAATGTGCCTCTGTGGCTTGGGAACATTGTGTCATTGCAATGTAGATGCAGCACAGTTAGATGTGGACATCACACACACACATACACTCTTACACACACGGTGAGACCTAGAATGGCTTTTTCTGCTTTGTAACTTTTATGTTCACATCTTGATTTGCCTTTTCTCAGACTCACATACCGAACTGTGCATGCTTTTCTTTTTAAATGTCAAGATACTGGACTTGATGTTTTATTTCTTTTGTATCCTCTCATAGGGCTTTGCATTCAGTGATCATTCATTTATACTACAGCCCAGCAGGTCTCAAGGTGCAGCTCAGGGACTCCTGGGATCCATGAGACCCTGGAGGGAGTTTGCAAGGTCGAGGCTTAATACAAAGACATTAGCTGCGCTTTTTGTTCTCATCCTCTCAGAATGCCATAGTGGGGCTTTCTGCTGTGCACTGGGAAGGTCTGTGTGACACATTGAACCAGCATTTTCCAAATGATAGATGTGTAATAATCATTTACAAAATTATATACATATACACAAGCATTAGAGGCAAAAAAAAGTCATTCAAAGTGCCAGATAGAGCAATGAATTTTAACGTAACAGTGTAAACTATCACACATCAAATTTTGGTACAGTATCAAATAATAATATCCATGATGACATGGTTTGGCTGTGTCTCCACCCAAATCTCAACTTGTAGCTCCCATAATTCTTACATGCTGTGGGAGGGACCTGGTGAAAGATGACTGAATCATGAGGGCGGGTCTTTCCTGTGCTGTTCTCATGAGATCTGATGGTTTTTAAAATGGGATTTTCTGTGCACAGGCTCTCTCTTTGCCTGCTGCCATGTACGTAACGTGTGACCTGCTCCTCCTTGCCTCCTGCCATGATTGTGAGGCCTCCCCAGCTATGTAGACTGTAAGTCCAATAAATCTCTTTCTTTCATAAATTGCCTAGTCTCCGGTGTGTCTTTATCAGCAGTGTGAAAATGGACTAATACAATTATCTGAAAAAGGTATTAAGATACTCCTCACTGTTCCAACTATGTTTCTGTGTGAAACTAGGTTTTCTCCACATGTGCAATGAAAACATATTGCAACAGATTGAATGCAAGAGGAGCTGTCTTCTGTCAAGGACATTAAGGAGATTTTCAAAAATGTAAAAAAATATCATTCTCACTAGATACTTTGTTTTGGAAAATAAAACTATTCTTCATAAAAATATTTAACATGCAATGGTTGTATTGTTTTTATTTCTAAGTGAATTAATAAATTAAAAATTTCTCACTTTTAACTTTTTTTTTAAGACAAGGTCTCACCCTGTTGCCCAGGCTGGAGTGCAGTAGCATGATCATAGCTCAATGCAGCTTCAACCTCCCTGGCTCAATGCGATCCTCCCACCTCAGCCTCCTGAGTAGCAAGAATCACAGGTGTGTGCCACCACACACCCAACTAAATTTTGCATATATATATGTATTTTTTGTAGAGATAGGGTTTTGTCATGTTGTCCCTCACATTTAATTTGGGATGCAGTAAACATCAATAGCCAGAACCTTCATAAACAAAAGCTCTTTGGGCTCCTCTGTTACTTTTAAGTGTATAAAGGGGTCCTGAGAGCAAAACATTTGAGAACCACTGCTTTAGACTGCCTGGTCAAAACACTGAGCAGATCCATTAGAAATTAAAGGGACAAATAATTCAGGTTTAGAGTCAGGCTTGGGTGTCAATCACAGTTTCACACCAAACTAACAGATTTGGAATAGCTTATTTGATATTTTTTAAACTCAGATTTAAAAAATAAACATGTGAACTGGGGAAAAAAATATCCTTATAGGAACTGTTGAGACTAAATGGAATGGCACATGAAACATGCCAGCAGGTGCTTACACATGTCATTACTTCTGCAGCCACAGTTCATCCTGAAGGGCTGAGAGCAGCCAGGCTTGCTGAGCCAGGGGTGAAGTTATCCAGAATCAGGGCCAGCTGACCAACTATGTGGAAAGCAAGAGGCTCTCTGTGTCCCAGCTAGCACCCCGAGAGTGCCAGAGGACAGTGCAGGGCTGACTCTTCAGAGCTCTTCCAACCAGGGGGAAGGGTGTGTTCATTTTGGAAGGGCCAGAAACCCAGACAGAGCACCTCGGTGGAAGTAGAGGTCTGAGTTCAATTCAATTCAATCAGCCAAATGTAGATGAAGCATGTACTAGACCTCAGGCAATGCGTAAGCTTCAGAGATGCATCAGTGAGCAAAAGTGACACAGATGTGGGACTTGTGCCACTCATGTTCTAGTGCAAAGATCCAGAAAATGAGGCAGCAGCTCACAAGATCCCTAGGGAGGACCAACCTGCAG